TTTGAATAAAAGTGCGTGGCGTCAGCCACGCACTCCGAAACCTATTGCTCTTGCGTTGCCGAAAACACTTCCCTCTAATATGGACTTGAGGGGGAAGGAGAGGTATGACGAGCTCTTATGGGCAAGCTCTCGACATTTGTGTTTGGATCTCCCACCCTAGAATCTTACAGATAAGTCCGCTTTTTCGACAATAAAAATTGATAAAAATGCACCCTCGCGCCGCCAAGAATCTTGCATGTGAGTCCTCCCATCAGATGAACCCGTCTACAAATAAATTCGGACATATCTGACAGTTTTGGACTAATCTGACAAGCCGGACATATCTGACAGTCTTCGGACTTATCTGACAAGACCTCAGGGTAGTTATAGTGGGAAGAAAACGGACTTATCTATAGGCAGACCTATCCGAAGGGCTTTATATGGGTCAAAAGGCGGACTCAACTGATGGGAGAACTTATCTGTGAGAGTAGATTGTTTATATTGTTGAGATAACTCTGAATCATCTCAAATCACATTTGGAGCATCGGGAGATGGGAAGTGCATGACCGAGATGCTATGATTTTTTTGTTCACTAGTTTCTTACCCGTGGACTGTGACCTAAATGGGGAGGTTCCTCAGTAGTTCCGTAAAGGTGTAAAGCGTCTTATCATTTTTAAGGTAGCAAAAGGATAGCGGCAATTCGAGGTTTTCTATCCTGGAAGCGGATCTTCTATGATTAAAAAAAATGACTCCCTCGTAAGCTTCCAAATTTTGCTAATGTCAGTTGTGAAAATATGGATTACTCCATTAACAAGAGCACAGAAAGGACAGGAAAGAGCACAAAAAATGTTGCAAATCAAAGCCATAAGAAAATGAATAGTTGTCACTTCGCAGTGACTCGGAATTGGTTTCATTCTAGTTTTGAAAATTTATATTAACACGTACGGAAAACTTTAAAAACTCTAACTAATAATCATTTTACGTGTAAGAAAAAAAACACAGTTTTCTGAAAACGCGTCACCAGTTTGAAGAAATTACTCGTGCCCGCGATTGCTGTTTTAATACAAACTAGCTTTATTGCAAAGCTTGTTGATGATGGCTCCTTAACGTTGCCAGATTTGAAATGCGTCAAATATTAGTAACTCCAAAAAAAGTAAGTGTAGATACCTCTGTTCAACAACTGGACGATATTTGGCGTCAACCTTGATAGTTTCAAGCTCATCAAGCGCATCGAATCCATCGATAACCCTAAATTACAAGATGTTTGTAGTGTTTGAATGAAAAAATTGATCGACACTGTGCCGACTGTAATTATATCAGTATAGTACCTCCCAAAAACTGTGTACTTAAGATCCAAGTGAGGCTGCTTAGCGTATGTGATGAAAAATTGCGATTTATTTGTATTGGGACCGTTATTTGCCATAGACACGGTCCCTCGACCGTCGTGCTAGAAAGAAAAGAAGTTGATGAGCAAAAATATCTACGACATAATTGCACTGACTCGAAGCTCCACAGAGAGCTCGTCCTCAAAAGGTGCACCCCAGATACTGTTACCGCCTTTGCCAGTTCCTGTTGGATCACCAGTTTGCACCATAAAATCTTTGATATTCCTCAAACAGAAGATCACGATTCGATAACACATAAAGATCAAAGAACAGCTGCTTACCTGTGAAATATGTTGTTGTTGTAGTAGTCACTGGCACAAAGAGCAAGAAAGTTCTGACATGAAGAATACTTGCAGAAAAAAAAATAAAATATGAACTATTTACCTCACAAGTTTTTGGACACTCTTGACAAAACAACTCTATTTTGATGTCACCAACAGTCGTATGTAAGGTCACGGCCATAACATGAGAATTCTGAAACTATAATTCATTAAGCGCTCTAGCATCATAGCGAATGTGAATGCGAGTGGCTTTTGAAACCGAAACCAAATCGTCCTCATATTTAAAACGCACAAGGCGCGCGCACAGTGTTCGCAAACGCCGCACCTCCTCGAGACGAATTCGAAACGCACAAGCGTACCAGGATCGGCGTCGCGGGAGCGACGCGC